AGCCGCTAGATGGCGCAATGAGTATAATAGATAAAAATTTAAGTTCGAAGCTGTAAACAATATATACAAAATGTTCAAATCGCAAACCAAACTAGTTTCTGAGGTTTCATCGACTATTCAAACATTTTAAATAAAAAAAGTTACATGTATAGTAAGTTCTCCATTTTATACGTCAGCAATGACGCAAATTGTGAAAAAGTTCATGAAATTGTTGAATGGCGTGAGAAAAATAAATTACAATTACAGAAGCAGTCAAAAGCGAAGATCTATAGTGAAGAAAAGCAACTGAATTCTCACAAAATTTATATAATAAATATATATGGTATATATAAAAAGGATAAGTGAAAGCAATGTAACAAAAAAGGATCGAAAGAAGTGCTGCCAAATGTAGCGAGCACCAAAGTGAGTAGTACTGGTGGGTAAGAGTGAGCAAACATGAATGCCAAAAATAGAAATGCATATCACCAAAAAAAAAAAAACATATAAAAGAAAAAAAAGCAAGACAAACCTGAAGAAAGTAAGGTGAAATAAAATTCCAAAGATAATTCTGAAGAAAAACAAAACGCTGAGCAAATCAAGGGTAAGAAACGAAAGAACCAAAAGCCAAATGGGGCAATTGCAGTGGAGTACTAGACAGTAGGCCTGCAGCAGGTTGTAATTTGAGTAGTTGAAAGTGGGCAATAAAACGGCAGCAGAATAAAGAAATTGCTGTCTATAGCCTGAAGAAAAGTGCAAAATATAGTGCACAAGTGGTCAGAAGAACAATATAATTGGAAGGTCAGTGGGTCAAGCGCTGCAAGGACTTCAGACAGCGAGAATGAAAAAAAGCCGCAATAAGTTTGAGTGTTGGCTGAGCAAGTAAGCGATAATTAAAGATATGCAATCGTCAAAGAATTAGTATTGAAGAAGCAAAAAGAACGAAAATAGTTTTATGAAAGGCAACAGAAGCGAATATCAAAAAAGACAAATATCTTTAATGAAATTTGGCAGCGTGCGTCATTTCATGCAGAATAATCCAGCAGCGTCGCATAATAAATGCAACTGAAAAGAAAACTAAAAGCAATAACAATAACAGAACTATCAACAACACTTAGATTAAAAGTGAGGCAAAGCAAGTTGATTGTAACAGCATATCAACGGACATTTGTGGCAACACGCAATGAAAGCGTTGATGGAACGAAAGAAAAGTATTGCGGAAAGACAAAAATTGTTGAAAATTGACGTAGAGAAGAAAACATAAAGAAATAACAAGTATTTTAATAAAACTCAGCTTTAAAATACTATAACCGCCTTTGTGGCATACTTCTTTCAACACTACTTCCACTTACCCATATTTATATGCAACAAATTTCTGCCTCAGCGCTTTAAAAAACATTTTGTAGCATGCTAGACATGCTAAGTTAGCAAGCGAATGGTTTTGCGCCATTGCTTTTACATCAACAATTTATCGCCGCATACAACCGACTATAAGCGGAGCAGCGGGACGTATACGTAATGGAGCAATTTGGGCGTTTTGTTGGTCGTTCGCTTACAAATTGCAGGTTTACCCTTTTCCGGTTGCCAGTTGGCCTAATGGCTGTAGATTTGCGTGTCTATTTTTTAGTACGATTCGCCTTTTTTAATTTTGCATAGCGCATGATTTTGCGGTGGATTGCATTTATTTTGCTGCCGACTGCTAAAAAGGGCTAAAGTGCTTGGCAGTTATTTGCAGCCCAACAAAATTAATAGCAGGTTTCAGTTTGCTTTATTGGGTTATGCAGACGGTTGTCAAAAATAAAGAAAGATATACATTTTACATTTGGTTTAGTCTGTTAAAGCTAAAATAAGCAAGTTTGTATGGAAAATAAATTTCAAATCGCAAGTGTTATTAGTTTTTTTATGCATGTACTAAAAGCTATATAGTATTTGGCTCAAAAGTATGAAAGTAGTAATAAGACTAGGGAAGATGCATTTGCTAGAAAATTGCTACAAAATTTTGCTGAGATTGAAGAACTGTTAGTCTTCATTAAAACAGTTCTGTACCGCTTTAGATATTAAAAATATAACATTAGAATTTGATTTAATACAAAAAAAAAAATATATATAAATAAATAAACTAAAATATAAATTTTAATGTGGTCATATTATCATACAGTAATTTTCATTCAGTCATATTAATCACAATAGTAGGAACTCTCACGCCACTTTCCACTGAAACTACCACATACACTGTATGACCTGCTAATAAAAACTCTTTGCATATAGTATATTTTTAGTATTCATGAAATATTTAATTGTCTTTATTACATCAACAATTACAATTAGGCAAATTTAAAAAACTTCAATTTCACCCAAGTCACGCACAGTAGAAATAGATAAATTAAAAACATAATTAAGAGTACATTTTATAATATTACATCATTCAACATACTATCCAAAAATGTTTAGAATGAACTAAAATAAATTTTACATTAACTGAGTATCAAAAAAAAATCCGGCACTGTCTTTAAGAAAGCACGTTTAAGAGAAAGACACATTTAGTATTTTATATTCGAAAAATACTTCTACTACACTCCGAAGTCCTGCTGTTAAAGCTAAATAACACTTTTAGTTATTGTTATGAGTGAATACAATATTTTGAAAAAAAATTTTAAACCTCTGACATCATAATAAAACCCTTTTCAAATTTGCAAATTGATTCCTAACACACTGATATAAATGTAACAATTAATTTACTAATTGGGACTTTGAGTTTTAGAGGATAATATTTTCCTTGGATTGTGCAATTAAACATTTTTTATTGTAAATGTTTATTTTCACAACATATTTTATTTGTTAGCACTTTACTAACTTGCAGGGTATGCTTTTGAATAGAGTTTTCTTCATTTGAAATCTTTACACGAAATCTACATTCAACAGTTATTAAAAATCGATGGTTTTGCGAATTAGTTACAACTAATCAGATGTGCAGAAAGCATTATATTGACTATACGCATAAAGGGGTTAGGGGGATCGGACCAATTTCTGCAATTTTTAGCACTAAATTACTTTATTTCTAAGATAAAATGTTTTATTAAATTTATTTCTTACTCTTAAAATGTCTCACATATCAACTGATATATGCGGAAATATACTAGAAAAGAAAAAAGAAAATCTTAAAATTGGGTATATGACAACTCGAGCAAAGGCTGGACTAATTTTACATGTAGTCAACATTTATTGATGTTACAGAAAAATATATATGTAAATACTTCTATAGTACTGCACTAAATTAAAGGTTGTCTTTAGAGCAGTTACTCCGATCCGATTTAGGTCAAATATGTACCATTTTATGCAATAAGTTCTTGCCATTTTTAAGGGTAATTTTATAATTTTCCTCTCATAAAAAGGGGCGATACTCAAAAGCTTCTCTTTAAGCAATTTTGTTACCAGCAAAAACATTCGCCATAGACAGGAACAGGTAGTAATCACTTGGTGGCAGGTTCGGACTTTAAGGTGGCTGCTTAAGAACCTCCCAACCAAACTGGTGGAGCTTTTATATATCTAATAGCGATGTGCGGCGTTGTACTGATGGAGCATATTTTTTCTCCTATGTATTGGACATGGCTGACCGCTTCTGCGCGATTCTTTTATTTTAGATGGTCCAATTCTTCGTGTGCGTGCTGGAATATCTTAAATATTGACAGATAAATGTGATGTAGAATCTATCAGCGTAATGAAAAACATTATATTAGGTATGATGGTGTTAATACTGACACGATTTAAACAATTTCGACGAACTGGCCTTACTATTATCAGAGAAATATCTCCAGTTAGTTCCACTAAAATATCTTAAATATTGATTGATACATACATGTCAGTTGCCATATATTAATTCCCATTTTTTCAAAATACTGACAGCATATAATACGTGAGAAAGGCTAAAGGCTCGCAATTTTTAAAATTCAAAGCCGGGTGCATTTTTTCATGTGTTGTCGAAACTTAATGATAAATAGAAATGTATGTGAAATAATTCAATATTTTTTATTCGATGAAATTATCAATCGCTGACATATTTGGTATCTAATACATGCAATAGGTTATGTAATTACCTAATCTGACATTTGTATATTAAAGTCAATCTACCTAACATAAATTTTGTATTAATGATATTAGTCCTTCCCCTAGTACATATCGTTATTAATACATAAGAAAAAATTAACTCGAGGCATGGATACCTTTATATGTATGAAAGGCTTAGAGACCGATTTTAATTTCTACTTAAGGCATTATCTAAGAAAACCTTAATATTGACCTACCTAAAATGTTTAAAGGCAACTGGAAAGTCGAAAAGCTTAACCGATTAGAACCATTGTCGCCACAAGAATAGATCGTAATCATAGAAAGAATCTCTCTGATTTCTAATTTCTTACATATCTCGATATCTCACTTGGAAGTTCAAAAAGATTTGTATTTGGGGGCTAGAGAAAGTATTGCCGCAATTTGATCCATTTTTGACACAAGGGCACGTTATTATTGGAAAAAAATTTTCGCTGACTTTAATTAAAATTCTAAAAGATTGACCAATATTTTGGGTACACAGTAGGCGTAAGCAATGTGGTCCACATATTCAGTATCTGGCGGCTTAAAAATTCATTGTCCGAAATAGACTATTTTTGGTTGAGATATGGCATATCTTAAATGCACAATTTGTGGATATTTTATTCCAATGTCATCATTGATATAAGAATATACTGCGGAGTGAAAGAATTGAATAAATCGGAATAGAAATGGAAATGGGATTAAACTTGTGAACTACAGGGTGGTAGTCACGTACTCCTCCATCAATATAAGTAGACAGTTCTTATATATAGAAGTCTAATATTCATAATTTATGTTTATATTCATATATACCTATGTGTGTGTGCTCTTATGTATGTGTGTCTTTTTTAAAAAAAATCTACTGCCACATACCATGTAATTTCGTAATTAAAATTTTTGCAAAAACGATTTTAATTTTTAATGTTTTCATATTATTACAGTGGCTAAGAGAGCATCATAAACGCTACAACAAACACAACAACGACAACAACAACAAATTGTAATACGCATGCAAATAATGTAATAATGTCAACGCTTGCAGCAACAGCGCAAATGTCAGGAGCCGCAAAGTCAAAGACACTGAAGGGAAATGTGGCAAGCAATGCTATAACGGCGACAACAATAGCAAAAGCAACAACAACGATAATAACAGCAAGGGCAACAAGGGTTACGACAAAATTAAGCAATCAAGATAATCACAATGAGTATGTCGCTGCCAACGCCGCTGATGCGAAGTATTTAAGGCACGCAATGCTGGGAAATTTTAATCAACAAAACGAGCAGCGCCCTGCCAGGCTGTTGGGCAACAGCAGCCACAACAGCAGCAATAACAATACAAACGATACAAACAGCTGTTGTGGTGGAAAACAAGGCAAGCAACAACAACAACTGCTGAGTTTAAGCACAGAGATGAACGATGTCAACAACATGCGCGCAACAACAGCAACAACAACGCTGGCTGTAATGTTTCACGAAATGAATGATGTCACCCGCTGCAAGTGCATTTTAAGTAACAATAATTCATGCTGCCGCGCTGATAACTACATTAAATGGAATTATGGGCGCCAAGTTTTGGCAAGTGATAATGAAAGCGCGCCTCACACACACTTGCAACAGCCGCCAGTGCGCTGTTACGCGACGCGCGCCACCAAGGTTTGCACAACGTCCAGAATGGGCGCATTATCAGCGCCGGAAATTTCAACACTCGTATCAGCGTTACCCCCGGCGCTTGGTAGTAAGCAGGCTAAAGCCACAACAACAGCAACACACACAATCGCGCAACAGCCACCAATAAAGGCACCAACGCTTATCGCTGAACCGGGTTTAAAGAGTGCATCCGGCTCAAAAAGCACGAACATTTTGTGTGTAGCAAGTGACGCGCTTGCTGGGGTTGATCGCGTGTGCGAACCCATAATTTGCAATAAAAAGCGCCACCTCGTTGCGCGTAGCGGCAAACTTAGAAGAAAGCGTTGCAAGCGCAAACGTCGCTGCCACTGGCCGGCCAACAGCGTCAGAGCGGAAATGGCTAAAACAAAAGCCGCCGTTCAAACGAGCGCGATTAGTCGTGCGACAAAAAGCCCAACAACACTCAATTCATGCATATTGACGTCATTCCTTTTGAATTCCACTTTGCTGGCGTTATGCAATGCCACAGCCGCTACGGCGCTATCGGCAGTGGCGGCAACACTCGGTGATACTATTAATAGTTCCATGAGCGCTGATCCGTCACCATCGGCGCCCGCTGCTAACGTTGTTGGGAACGCGTATGAAAATGTTAACGCTACTAACGGTAATGGCAGTCACGGTGGCAGTCAAATAGCTTTTGCCAATGGCGGCACTAGTGATATTAGTTTTAATGACAGCGACAATTTGTCGGAGGAAGATGATCGTGAATATATTTTCGACCGCACCGATGTGCGCATCATTTTTATTACGCTGTATACTTTGGTGTTTTGTTGCTGCTTTTTTGGTGAGTCAACATTATTTTGATAATTATAGTTTTATTATTCTATTAGAGATAATTGTAATTATTTAATTGAGTGAAGTTTAAACAATAGTAATTCCCCAATGCATTGACGTAATATAGCGTATAACTCGCTTAAATTTGTATTGTCAATGTTAAGCTAGCTGGTGTCTTACGCGCTATTTTACAAAAAATTGTCTTTCTTTCCCTTTTGTCCTTTGGCGATCAAATCAACATGGTACCTTACATGCTCTGAGTCGGAGGTACATTCTGAGGAACTCTTCTGACACTTAAAGTGTACTTAAATTTGTGATAACTAAAGGTTATATTATCGCTTAGAAGGAAGTTAGCATTGGAAACTCTATGCTTCGGGTTATCAAAGTTGAAGTATCGTCATTGTAATCATAAACGTAATTGTCATCGTAATTAAACCTGAAAGTATAAACGTAAAGGTATTCGGAGTCGTAATCGTAATCGTGAAATGTAATTGTGTTCGTAATTGGAATTGTAATTGCAATTGAAACCGGTTACATTATCGTAATCAAAAATGTAAAGGTAATCGTAGACGTAATCGTAAATGAAATTGTAATCATAATTGAAATAGTAAAGTGAAAAGGTAATCGTTATGATTGTAGTCTAAATCGTAAACATAATCGCTCACGTAATCGTAACCGTATACACAACAATAATCCAAACCGTTATCGTAGTCGAAGTAATTAACATAGTTGCAATCAGAATCGTAATCGCAATCGCGCTGGTAGTAGTAATCGTGGCTGTAATCTTAATAATAATTGTAATAGTAATCGAATCGTAGAAGTAATGGTAATACTAATTGAAACCGTAGTCTTAATAACAACAATCGTAATGCTAACTGTAATCGTAATCGCAACCGTTATCGTAATCATAGTCACCATAGTAATCGTAGTAGTCGTATAGTAATTATAATCGCAATCGCAGTCATAGTAATCGTAGTTGTAATAGTAATGGTAATTGTAATCGCAATCGTAGTCGCAGTAATTGTAGTTGTAATGGTAATTTAAATCGTAATCGAAACTGTTATCGTAATCGTAGTTGTAATGGTAATTGTCATCGTAATCGTAGTCTTAATAGTATTCGTAATGATAATTGTAATGGTAATGGTAGTCGTAATAGTAATGATAGTGGTAATTGTAAATCTAAACGCAACCGTTATCGTAATCGTAGTGGAAATCGTAATGGTTAATGTAATCACAATCGTAGTCGTAATCGCAATCGTAATCCCAATCTATATCCTTTCTGTTTATTTAGACATTTAGTTCTTAGTGTATTTGCTATTATACTTTTTTTTATTTTCATCACTGCTTCTCCCTAAGGTCACTGCATGCAAATTTACTATCCATGCATTTAAATTACTCATTTGAGAAGCTCTACTATTTAACCGGAAATTATAGTTCATGACTGATAATTACTTGTTTTTAAGATACTGCAAGAGATTACCATTTAACGGCTAAAGGGGCAGCACTTTGAAAACACATCAACATAATACCGCAAACGATGCTGAAGGAGGCAACAACAAGCATAAATAAATACTAATAGTTTGCAAGTAAATACATAAGGCATTCAAAAGCATTAGATATATTACTGGGCATGCGCATATTTATTAAGCAAGCAAAAGGCATACAAAGCCGCATTGTTATGTGCACATAACTATATGTATATATTGGTATATAACTGTCTGTACACTCTGCCCCAGAAGTCGTCTATGCACTACTTGTAATTATTCAAGTAAATTGCAGCCATACTCTGTGGCACTAATCATTTCTATGCGTAGCCTTTATGCCCCTTCAGACATTAACTCACACATACACGCCCATGCATATACACATGCTTATAAGGCCAACTAAGTGCACTCGGCACAACAATGTGTTAACTGATACAAACATTTAACGGTACAATGTGCTCACAAATGCACTTAACTGTAAGTACATACACAAATGTTTGTTTATATGTATGCGTGAGTGCGTACGTTTGCGCCTAATATGCTGGTAGTTACATGATAATTTGCTAGACCCATATACACACACACTGATTGCACTGTTGGCCAACGGAAATATCAATTATTTACATTTGAAAGTGTGTGTGTGTGTGTCGCCAAGGCACGGATTCCATAAGTACAAGCTTGTTTATGGGGTTGCGGGTTTCGCAATTAGTGCAGGCGTGCAAAGCAATACCGTAAAAACAACAACAACAACATAAAACACGAAAAAATGTTAACGTCGGGTGTACCGAAGCTATAATACATTCATCGGAAATTGTAGCGTTTCGTGAAGATATCTCATTAGATAGTCTCTCGTTTTCCATACGAGGACTTGATTTTTATCGATCAGTTTGTATGGCAGCTATAACCTATAGTGGTTCGTAATCGGCGGTTTCGACAACTAAGCTGCTTCAGATCGATATCTCAAAAACTGAACGAATAGTTCATGTATATACAGACCGACATGCCAAAATAGACTCAGCTCGTCACGCTGCTCATTTATATATCTACTATATAGAGTCTTCGTTGTTTCCTTGTGTGTGTTACAAACTTCATGGCAAGTTTAATATACCCTGTTTAGGGTATAAAAAAATTAATGCATGGTTCGTCTGCGTTTGGAAGACAATTTAGTAACAGGTAGCCATAAACTACAATGAAATACATTACGAATTGTGGCAAATAGCGGAAATGCGCGTCTCTCTTTGCTGTCATTCTCTTTCTCTCTCTCTCTTTCACTCACGCTAAAGTAGCGCGCGTAATAAACTATGCGAAATTTAGCAGCGCAAAATGCTGTAATTGCACCGACAAAGCACACACCGATATGCCATTAATTGCTTTTGTGTTAAGGTGTGTGTGTGTATATATGGTTGTGGGCGTGCGCCTATAAATTTACAGCGAATTACGCGTTTGACTTACAGAGCAACCGCAACACCAGCTGCTTTAGCTCTATGTCTGGTGTCTAATGTTCGTTTGCGGTCTCTCTGCTCCACTTCTCTGCAGGCTACATTCGCTTGAACGCTTGACAGGGCGGGCGTCTCTTGTCTGCCTGCATAGGTACTATCACAACTGGCAGCTGTTGATTGCCCGCAATGCGTTGATGCGGTTAGCGGTTAGAATTTACTGGCGTATTGCAGCTATCATAACGGGGTTTTGCCTTGCGAAGTGTCGACAAATTGTCTAATGCCGTTTAGTATCACCGGTAAATTATTAATGCAACGTCTTGGGAGTTGCTAGCAAATTCTCTAGTAACCAACAGGTTCAATGCTTTCAAAGCTGACGATGTTTTTAGAGAAGCTACAAAGGTAGATTTAGTTTCAATAAAAAGATAGTTGTTCCAATTCGTGCTGAATTTGTTGTTGTTGTAACAGGTATCCAGCAACTGTTTGGGTGACAAAACTTTAGTTAATTATCATCAAAATTATTTAATGAGCAGTCCAGAAAACGTGCTGCGCCCATCGGATCGGATAATAGGGAAAAGGCATGCAATACATAGATCTGGTTGTCGGAGCCAGTTTTTCGTTACCGGAATTGACCTGAATTTTATGCTTTTAAAGACTGCTGAATCTAAGCCTATTAGGAACGGTACGTAGTAATTCTGAATTGAAGTTTGTAGACTTGTAGTCGAACACTACTTTCTACTAAAGTAAAATTCGAAGCTGGCTAGTACCACAGGTATATTGTAGGTTTAGTAAGCATGCTCTTGGAATTAATGTTGTTGAATAGAGTCATTATCTTAGCATAGCACTACATATTTGACCCCACAGCTATATCAAAATCGGCATGTGGCTTTCCGTTGGCAATTTCGCTAAAAGGTGTAACGATTTTTTTAAACAGCTCACATCTTTGGCAGGTTTTAACTTTTGCGCAGAATATCTTGGGGGTTCACCGAGTCTTATCCAGTAACTGTGTGCTGGAGTTACTGGGTTTCCGTTTTCAGGCAAATTTACTTTTGGCCAGTTTGATAGTGATACCCGTAGATACAGGTGGTAATATATTTCATGAGTAATATTTTTAGTTGAAGTTACTCCGGAGCTTATCCACTTCAGATGTGGTTAATTCCTCAACGTGACCTAACTCTATTTACTTTTCCGCATTGATTTCAATACAATTCTCGGAAGATACATATGTGTGTACGGACTTGAATCACGCACAGCCTATAGCTTAGGTTTATCCCACAGGTCTTAAATACTCCATACCATTGGGTTCAACATCGGCACGAAGTTAATGTTTAGTCCAAAATATTGTTTTTCGAAGAGAGTCGTATCGATTTTGATTTTGCAACTTCTATATTAATACTATGAGTTTCAAACAAACAATCGTACGTATACATACGTAAGTTTCCTTTCGAGTACTTTAGGTGCGAAATTTCAGAGTTGAATTAAATAGTTCACAGGCACTTAAGGAAGGTGCTGTCTTACAGTACACATATGTATATTTAGTTAATTTCTAAAATTTTTATCAGCATCAATATTTTTAAAACTTACGAGCGTAAAAATACTAAGTCGAATTAAATTGTTTTTCAAGTAATTCAACAATTTGGAAAACGAGTTTTATAAAAGTATGGGTTTATTAAAAAATTATAAAATTTTAAAATTTTTATTTGTGTCCATTGCATGTTTAACCCTCGTTATGTTCGATTGACATCCATTTACCAATTTGTCTACACCAAGGCGATTGAAGCATTGGCAAAATTTAGAGAAAAATCATCACTTGGCCAATAATTCAATTGTCTCGAAATATTCACTTGCTAGACATATTTCGACGAATCCTGAATATTTTACCAATTTTTACTTTATTTTTGAACGGCATTTTATGTATGTCATGTATTTCAGCAGCCTTGCCAATCAGTTTATTAACCGTTATCATGAACAATAAGTGTTGAATTGAATTGAAATTTTTTACACTTTACACTTCAATGGCTTTCAACAGGGCTTGTAGACGCTTGTGTTTGTCCACTTGTGTTTAATATATATGTATATATGAATATATA